AAAAACGAAGGTGAGTCATTTTGGCCACTTTTCGATAGATGGCGGTTTTCTCGGTCAAGGACAAGTTTTTCCCAGATTTTGACCTCATATTCGTTATTAGCGTTAAATTCTGCGTCTAGTGATGTGTTACGTAACCACTTTCAAGAAAAAAAAATTTTCGATGTTGCAAAGGGGACCTCAGCCTTAAAGTTTTCGAAAAAAATGAAAGTGAGTTTTTTGAAAATCTGAAGCGACAGTTTTGTTCAGAATCTGATGCTGATTTCAACCATGTAATTTTTATTCGAAAAAAATTGAGGCCACAAAACCGCCTTATCCGCTTCCCTCCTTTGAATGGAGTGTAGTGGTAGTCAGCTGCATAATTTAATGCGTGATCTGAAATTCTGATATTCTTGTCGTGAGTAGAGTTTTGATGTTGAACTGTTGTAGCATGAATGGGAGAAGGCTGCTGACGCGTAGAATTCGTTTCAGCTTGATTTGAGTTTACGAAAGTACGTTGCTGTTGTTGTTGTTGCCGATAGTCTTTGTCATTATTAAATCGTTTTCCGTTATACTGTAAAGGTGCAGAATTGAATTCGTCAATCATTTCAATGTCTTCGTCATCATTTCCAAATCTTTGACCGTCGCTCGTAGGGTGTCTCTTCATCGAACCTTTTCCGTGTTTGGTGCCGCTTTGCTGTTGATAAAAGTTGTCCAGTGTCTTCTGCAATGATCCTCCGTTACATATGAAGCCCTTCTCAGCCGTTGTTTGGTTGTTATAATTAGAATAATCGGTCATTACATGTTTTTGTACTGAATGACCTCTAATTTTAAACTTTTAAACTGTACAGAACGAAAGAGAATTACGTAATGTTATATGTATAATTCAGTATTTGTAAAAACAGGAAGAATTAGAAAAGCGTGTGCTTCGTATCGTAAAAAAGAGGAAAGTGGATAAATGGTCTGTTTTGTGATGAATAGACACTTCTATCCGCTTACTATACTCAGAAAAAAAATCAGCTCATTTGGGTAAAGAATGACGAAAACATTGAACATTTTCCAACTCTAAGGACTTTACGGACACCCTATATGTTCCCTCGTAAGCTCAACTCTCTACGATGAAATCCAACCGAGCTATCCGAAAAATAGAAATGGTGACATTCTTTATGCCGCACCCGTTAAATTATATATGCACGCTCGTCAAAAATTGAAGATAAAACGGGTATTCACTAGAAATGGAAATGTTTATCTGTATCGGTCTAAAGGTAAATATGAGCCGTTGTATTTTTAACAGATTATTGATAACTTGACTCAAGCATAGTTTTCTGACTGTAGTACATCACACTCCATTCTTTGCCTGTTATGAATAATATCTTTTTTTATTTTTGCTTTTTCTTTCTTTGCATGCATCTGAATAATATGTGCTATATAAATGAGGGTTCTTCTTTCTTAAAAATTTCATCTATGAATATCAGAAACTTGATATCTCAAACAGATGCCCTTGACTATTATCCTGCAGACTATTTTCTCTCTTTCTTTTTCCTTTTCTTTCTCTTTTGCTTTTAAACTATTTTCTTTTTCTTTCTTTATCTCTCTGTATATTCTACCACTGTCTTTTTTCAACCATCTATCTATCGTTGGTCTCCACTGATGACTAATTCTTGTTTTATTATTGTAAGATTTGTTGGCAACAGAATATACACTTTCTAAACTTTTTCATTTGGAAATGTTTGCTCAAAAATGACACTCTCTTCGAATTTGACTTTTTTTTTACATGCAACAGCATATAAGAAAAAAGCCTCGCTGTTTCAAATGAGAATCATGCACAGACAGATTCCAAAGGAATAATCACCAACTCTGATAATATACAAGTCTGAGACTGTCCTTGTTTTCCTAAATCTTTATTCTCTCATTATATTGTTCGTTTTGCCGATGGCGACTTCTAAATGTTTAAAAGGTGATATTTATTTTCACCGTGCAGTTTGCTTGAAATTATAAAATACTAGTTCATTTTGAGTGTATAACCATGTTGAGGATTAACATCATTCTTTATTGTAAACTTTTCTCATTGTTGGTATTAATGTTTATTATTTTTCTCTACTTATGTAAATGGTCAGATGTACATGTATGTATCTGATATACTTTTGAATACATCACGCGTTACGTTTCACTCAAACACTACTACTTCATGTCACTGGTGCGCCAAAGTCGAAAAAGCCTTCACCAAATGCTAATCACTCAACCAGCTTTAGCTTTATCATTCATTGACGATTCATGAGAAATAAGAATTTCGTTTCTTTCCAGAACAATGCTAATGACAAAAAATATAAAAATAAACATAGCGACAGTAACACTTGATTTTCTTTGAGTATCATAATAAAAAAGAAATATCATGATGCCAGTGGGGAGAATCGAACTCCCATTGTTCGGACCACAACCGAACGTTCTACCACTAAACTACACCGGCGAAATTATTTCCTTTCTTTGGTGACTTGGTGACACTCATGGGATATATGACATACTGGAGAAGAGTAACGCAACTATACCGTTTAGGTTTTGGAGATAGAAATACTTGTTCATCGGATCAAAATGCAACTGGTATCTAAGTTTAGAGTTTGATGTCATCACATAATACTTTAATAATTAACTTTATACTGGATCGAGCAGTGGTAAGAGAGCGAAGAAAATGTTTGTATGCTATAATGGTAGTTATCGTCATGGTCTGGCGCTTCTAACATACTGCATGCACTGAAGCAAAACTGTTTCTTACTTAGATTTGTCGACAGCTAGGTTCATACCCATGTGGACGAAATCGCGGTATTTTTAACAATTAATCGCAATTTTTGAAAAATCGCTAATTAATTGCGATTAATTGGCGATTCCGATGAGTTTACTTTTTTTTAAAATTGTCAATTAATTGCAATTAATTGTTGATTTTAAGCGATTAAATGGTTATTGTTATTCACCGTTTTATTTTGCAGTAAACAGGGATGATGTGAGTGTGTAAGATTTAATCCGACTTGTGGAAGAAACAGGCATCACTACATCAAGGTTAGTTGCTTGTTACTCAGACGAGAGGAAGAACCAAAGTGTTATGTCACTACAAAATAAGGCAAAAGTTACGGTAAACCTTTTGTTCTTTGAGTTAGCTCACTGCACAGTGTCAACCGTTGAAATTACGACTTGGACAATAAATAGGGATGTAAGTTGCGTACTGTTTACCAACTCTCTCTTATCGGTTAATGTAATAATGTAGTCATCATCAATGTAATCATAATCATGTAGATTAATATCTACGATTTCGGACCTGCTTTGTCGGTTAACAACCAACTCCTGATTGTTGTATAACAACGAAGAGAATTCGGCGTTCAGTTTTTGTATTTCACCGTTTGCTAAACATAGATTATGAACATCCATGTACTGAAAATCGCATAAAAATCGGCAATTAATTGTGAAAAATCATATGATTAACCGTGCGCGCAATCGCGATTCATTGCGGATTTTTTGCTGATATTCAGGTGATTTCAGCGATTAATCTCGATTAATTGAAGACTGTTTTTCAACTCTACAAAACTTAGATTTAAAAAAAATAGTGGAACCAAGTTTACGAAAATCAGGATTTCCACGCTCTTTTCCCAATATTAAAAAATTCACCATTCACTCAAAAAATCGAAGAACGAGTTAAAAACATCCGGATGTACCGTACTTAGACTATTTTATATTTTATTTATAAGAAATCTACAAAAAAGAATTTACAAAATTCTATGATTTTTCGTAAAACTTTCAGAAAACTCTTGAACCGTAACATGGTTTCTCGATTTTTTTTGATCATTTAATCATGTTTAATGGACAAAACTAAGCATATTCTGATGTTTCTAACTCGTTCTTCGGTTTTCTGAGTGAATGATGAACTTTTTAATAGTATGTTAAAAGAGTGTGGAAATACAGATTTTCATAAAACTTGGTTTTGACTGGTTTTTTAAATCTTTTTCTATAAGCAAAAAATGTTTGTTTATGCAAGCACGTCTCCAAGTGTCCTATTTCGAATACCGAAAATCGGAGCTGTCTAGATGCTTTTTATCAAAAGTTATTGAAAGAAAAAACAGCAGTCCATGCTTTTTGTGGGCAGACAGTAATACAATTATTTACTACTTATACTACTACGCCAGACTATTAATATCCTAGCTATTCGTAAACAGCTTTCTTAATATGCTTTGACCTATTGATCATGAAACATGACTTTGAAAGAACGTTGGGTACTCACCTTGGAACCAGCATCTCACAAAAAGTAACACGTATAAACGTAAGATTATTCGGTCATTTATTAAATGAGCCATTTAGTCGGGGTAATAATCAAACATGAAGACATCCACAGACACTTACAGGCAAACACAGACAGATACACGGACATCCATACACAGACATCCATGGATGTCTGTGTAGTTGTCTGTGGTTGTATGTGCGCTGTCTGTGTAGCTGTCTGTGGCCGTCAGTGGGTGTCTGTAAGTGTCTGTGGATGTCTTCATGTTTTACAATTAACCATTTAGTTGTAGTTTGAAGGTATCAGAACTAATAGATAATAGCATGCAAGACGGAATAAAGAAACAGGAGAAACGTACGTAATATGAGGAACGGTTCTCCAGCTTAAAAAAAAACTCAAGCATTATCAACTGGATTCAAACGTTCATTCACTTCGGTCGTGTCCAGCGGTCGTTTCCATTCTTCGTCTGCCGTAAACGTAACAGGGTCATCGTCCGATCTTTTGCTACAACACCCACCTCTATTGCGTAACCAAACCCAGACAGCAATTACAGCTGTCAGTAGACAGAAACCACCACCTGCTATTAATAGTGAACCTCTTAGTTTACTCGGTTGTTTCCATTGTACTATATGTTTATGCGGATTATGATAACAGGTATAGATCTGATCAACCTAGAGAAAGAGAGACATTTACATATCTAAAGGAGTTGACGATGAGCTTAGAAATTACTTTATATTCCATCTGTTTCTTGACCGCATCCGCTTCTGATTTCGTTTCTAATTGTGATGAATTGATCACTGCTTGTATCGGTTCGTCATTATCATTCGGTCGATCATACATAACAGTCCAAACTGGTCGATAATCACAGTCTGAACCATTGTCATTACAGTCTAATTCCTCTGTATCACTTTGAATTACTTGACAAAAATTTTTTATATAAGTACGTGATTTATGAACTTCAAATATACCAGAAAATGTCAGGATAGTTGCGAATACGAGTAGAGCAAGTTCAGCGAAAACTGCACAATAACAATTAAAAGGGTCAACCATTTTACATAATGTATGTTTTGTTATTTTTGTGAATAGTTTTTCAATGTGTTTTACTTTATATAGACATCGAATCCTTGAAGCAGAAAAGAAATGCAGAACGAAAGAAAGAAGAATAAGTAATTGTATGTTTACAAACATACAATTACTAATTTCTCTCGTTCTGGAGAAAAGTGTGAGCATACGTATTTTACAGTTTTCGTGTTATTCTGTTCTAGAAATAATATTTGTTTTCTTTGCGTTCTGCGTTGCCAACGTTTCATTTTTCTCCTTTCTTATTGACAATACAAGACCTTGATTATGTGATTGATTTCTGCAGAAGAATGACGCCATTCATTGCTGAAGGCATCACAAAACTATTCATTGCAATGCCAAACTAAGAACTAGTGTATGTCAATATAAAACTGTTCGTAGCAGTGTGTATGTGAAAATACCACTATTGATCTGTGTGCTGAACTCTTTGATTATTGTTATGTAGTTGGAAATTCGAACATGCACCTTGTTTCGATATAACCCGCCGAGTTGGATTTTAAGAATTTCAAGTGCGAAAATTTAGAAAAAACTTCCAAAAATTCGAATTACCTAAAAAACGGACGCTAACGTTTACTCCCCTCAACTCCTTTTTGCAAGCTGTGTTAATAGCTGCGAAAAAGCACCAATTTTTCAGAATTCTGCCACCAATATTCAGTTGATCGAATCCTTATAGCAGAAAAAGAGAATACAGAAAGAAAGAAAGAAGAATAAGTAATTGTACATATACGATTAATAATTTCATTACTTTTGTAGAACGTTACTATACTGACTGTACATTGTTTTTCTTATTCAGTTCTACAAATAATATCAGTTTTCATTGCTTTCTGTGGCCGTATGTTTTTGTCGTCCTTTTCTCTTGAAGTCCTTACTCTAAAAAATAAAATCGTCTTCTTTCATGTGTCTCGTTTTTTCTGATCCGTCTCAAACAAAGAAAAGCAAAAGAATGAAAGAGAAACAATTTTTGTAAAATCATTTTACACAAAAAGCGAGCTTTCGATACTTCACAGTATCATCATCAGGCTAATATGACTGTGAATTTAGAAGAGAGATGCATATATATACTGGTTGAAACAGGGGAGAACGAAAATACTAGAAAAACTTAAACATAGAAAAATATGTAGTATAGAATCGAGTGACGGTTACATTTTTCTATTCTGGACTGTTATTAGACTGTCTAAACGAATATCACTG